TTATAGTGAACGTGTAGGACATTTTCTGTAACCTTGATAAAAGTCGTTGTTAGCTGAGACAGTTGCAAGTTTTTGCTGTTTTTCTGTTTACTACTTTTTATTGCTGAGGATGTGGCCCTTCTGACTTCTGTTTCCGAGCTGTAAGCTCGACAATTACTCAGAATGAATGATACAGCACACACTTTATTGTATATCATGATTTCGTATTTGCATATGATTATAAGATACTTTCTATCATAGTATACTATGCTGCTCTAAATTTGTATTGCATCGTTTCTCTTCGTTATTTCCCGACTCCTTATTCTTATAGGCGCAGTCTTTGTAAACGTTTTCGGAAATTTTCGTTTCATCTTTTGTTCTATTTACACTTTTCTTGATTTATTATGAATTTAATTTTCTTTTTTAATTTTTTGAATTGAAAGCTACGTAATTGTTAGCCGACAATTTCTGTAGATTTTTTTTTACATTACTGTCATTTGTCTTTTTGTTCACGTTCTAAGAAACTCATTTTTTCTAGTTTCTGAACATAAATTTTCCGAAACCGTGTCAGATGCATTGAAAGAGACGGGTAGTGATTTGTTAGGTATTACTAGTCTTGTACAGTACAACGACGAGTTTCTCGAAAGGAACCGGAATTCGGTCGATCATCGACTAATAGGTATTATCTTTTCGTTAACGCTATTCGCTGAGTTTAAACGTTGCGGTTTATAGCTGCTCGGGGAATGTACTTTCTTGACGAGAGCAGACAGAAAGAGGCGGTCGCGGTCGCCACAAGTTTGGACGTAGACTCTAGAGGGATTACTTGGAAGGTAATTGCGTGGTATATTTGTTTCTATGCGACGCATATTTTGAACATTTGCAATTGCGGCGAATGGTTTTTGTTATTATTTTGTTTTTAAATTTAGTTTTTTATTGATTTGTAATCTCAATTCTGTTTATTTTTTTGTTTCAATACCAATTTGTCAAAATACTGTAGTGCTTTAATACCGTGTGCCTATCAGATTTGCTTCTGAGCAGCCGTAGATTCATACTGTTCGCAAAGTGCGAAATGGCTCAGCTGATACATTCGATGTTGGATCACCAGAAAGGAAGGCTCAGTGTCTACCAGTGATGCGCTACCTCATTCATTCCTAAATTTCACTTATTTGAATGGCAGCGTTGAGTAAATTACGTTTTCAAACAGTGTTCTAGACTACATCGGCTGCATTGACTATTTACGATCTTTTTGTCCTTGACTCCTGTCAGGTCGATCAACAGTAATGACTAATCGCCTCTCATCTCAACATCTGCTTGGCGAATGCCACACTCTTAGTTACATTTCTCGTTGACTACCGTTGAGAAACGGGTCTTCCAAAAATACCATCAAGTGATAAGTAGATCACAGCTTCTTCACCTTTCGAGAGCACTGATAGACCAAGAGGTTGTCTCACTGCAAAATACGGTATTCCTTACACGCCGTTCAACGCACCAAACGAATCGAAAACTGAAATGGCTTTTCTAGTAACAAAGAAAGTGGCATCCCGCGACGATTGCCAGTGACAACAAGCATCTCGAAGGCAAATTTGTCGCATTTTTAAAATATGAGCACAGCCATGAATATGCTAGATTTTAAATGATCCAGCGGGTTGTACTATGGCCTTAATATACATGACATATAATTAAATTTTAAGTACGATGTTGACAACAGGAAATGCACGATTCCTCCAAGACCGGATTTCACAGTGCATTGTGCGGCACCCTTGCTTCTAGTTGTTTATGGTTTGGGCATTTAAAATGGCCTTTAGCTTATAGTATTCGAACTTCTGCAGTGTCAGATGCACCTCGCCTCATTTCTTCGCTAGAGCGCAGCTATTTTCTCGCCACCACGCGCTCCTCACGAACGATGTTTCAGGAGCTGATGCTGTTTATATGCTATGCATGAACATCATAGAATTTTTGTGCTCCGTGAAATGTGACATTGGAGGAATTATGCGTTAACTAATATACTTCGCCGTATAATCATACTTTCTTGTTTATGCGACGGCTGATAACAGTAATAATGCTAATATTTCTATTATTGACTATATTTCAAAATTAATGTTTTGTATTCAATTTCAGAAATTAATCTGATGAAATCTGATTCAGTAATAGATCTTTGAATAAGCAAGTTTGCTTTTTGTATGTTATGTTTGCATGTTGATTTAATAAACACTT